CCCTCCCCCTTGCACATGTGCCCTTTCTTTGCGGATGCGGCGCATCTCGCCCCTTACCGATGCCGTCGTCGTCACTACTAACTTTTGTGCCCTGGTATCCCCCTGCACCGGGAAATCCAAAGTGTGCGAACGTCGCACACTTGTAAGTGTGTGAACGACATTCGGAAACGTAGAGGCACACAAGTGTGTGAATTTTCGAAGGGAAATTTACACTTTTACTCCCTTAAGTGTACGAGTTGGCATTCACACACCTACAGGGGTGTGACAATTACACACCTACAAGTGTGCGATATTCACACACTTGCCTTTCCAGTGTGCGCATCTCTGCTCTTCGCTCTTACCGATACCGTCGTCGTCACTACTGTTTGTGCACTCCGTGTATTTTGTCATCTTGACCTGCGAGGTTGAGTGGGGTAGGAGTTGGCGGGAAAGTTGTTAGGGGTAGGAGAACCGAGCGCAATTCCAGACTCTGAGATTTTGTGCCATCTTTGCATTCAGTCGGTGCCTTCTTGTCGCCGCAGTAAGCATATCTGGTGTAAAAGCAGCAAATCCACGTGTATATGCCAAGTGGCGCATGACCCTGATCTTTAATGAATGTTGGTGTTTTTATGCAAGCAGGTTGTCAACGCCGGATCTACTGTGTTAATTGTACAACTTATAGTTCTTTGTTTTGGTTTTTCTATCTCTCGAATCCCGTAGAGTGTACTGTATACTGAATGGATAAGATAAGCTTTTCTGGAAAATCTCTTTAATTTAGACACATCAAAAATTTATGAGTCCGATGTTGTTTAGCCAACGCGGAATAGAATGTGTTTAGGCCGTTAGAGAGAATATCGTCAAATTATTATATTTTAGAAGATAGGCGTGGCCGCTGTCGCTATGCGTCATCCAGTACCGCAAACCGCTATGAGCACCGCAAATTTTGTGGAAAATATTATGTGGTCATAGAGACTGGATGAAAAGGAAAAGGACGGTGCTTTGCCACTTTTGGTCGAATCTCGGATAGCGCTCTCTTTAAGTTTCGCGTGAAGAGGCGTGTTATAGCGGAAACTGACTTTCCAGAAAAGTTCCTGTTGTCACTGTGCGTTTTGTTGCCGGTGACGAAGCAGACCCATGGCCAACCGTCAGCCGCAACAGCCCCGCGATAGAACCAGGGCAGCCAACCGGCCACACAGCCAGCACCCGGTAAAACGAGGCATACCAACACGGGAAGGAAAAAAAGTGTTGTACTGCGAAATTTATTTACAGTACCTCTGATATGATCTCAATTTTTCTCCTTCTTCTTTCTTTGTTTCTGGTAGAACTTTTTACGCCCTAACATTAAATCTTTCGCAAATTTAACTGTTATGATCGAAAAGCACTAATTATGTTTCATCTTATTAAATTTAAACGTGACATTGAAGTTCAACTCATTTAAAGTAAACTCACTTACGACGCTGCATGATTTAGTTTGACAAAAAAGTGAGATTTTCAGTGTCTCTTACTAATGCGATTGCTTCCTCTCAGATTTTCCCCCA